TCCATAAGTTTGCACTTTTTGTTTTTCACTGGTCTGTGTTTGTGAGGCTGGTTATTTTGTTTGTTCCCTTGTAAGAGTACAGGTTGCCATGATTTGAAATAATCCCAAAGAGAATGAGTGTGGGTGGGTGGGTAGTCTTAGTACAGATTTCTTTTTTTAAAATAATATTTTATTGATTTTCCAGTTTTACATTTGAGTATTTGGAAGGCAACATGGTGATTGGATTAATCAATAGTTCAATAACAAAATCTTTAGTACATATCTCAGGTTACATCATCAAATATTTCTTCTCTGTTTCCCTTAACATTTGCTATATCGTATTTAAGCTAGTAAATTTCTAATTGTATCAAACTCAGTGAAAACTTCATTATCACATTTATCAATACATTTTTGCTTATACATATCTTAATAGATCTTCATAGACAATCCGTATCCTGTTAAGTTTTACCTAATTTTTAGTTTTTAATTATAGTACTCCAATTTAACCTTTAATATCCATAGTATTTGAGTTTCGGGTAACCCAAATTTCCTTTGTCTCACTTCTTAGACATTATAATGTCTAAAATGCACATATTACTTATTTAAATATATTCTTATTTTATTTCGTAACGTTTTCTATTTCACACCCTAATATTTCACCACCTTAATAATAGAGTATCCTTTGTTAGCTCAAGTCCATCATCTATATTATCAGCGCTAATCAATAGTTCAAACCTATTTCCTAATAGTTAGTTTTCATTTCCCTTGTAAGTCTGTCCTCAGTATTAAACAGATTAATCCCTTATTTTTTTAGTATTTTCCAACTATTTTAAATCTAATAATCAAATTTCCCCTTGTCTCAAAATCTCCCTTTAGCCCACTGGTTGGCAATTTAGGATCCTCTCCAGTAAATCAAAAGATCCCAGTTTTTCAATCTAATTCTAGCTTTCTTCTTTTGCCAACCAGGTTTCCATATCAATGCTTTTAAATCATTAAATAGATCTCCCTTCATTCTTATGTATGTTACTTGAATTAAAGGAGACCATCTAGTTGTCAGTTTTCTGGAAGAACTGGCCCATTTATAATCATTAAGTTGTCACCCTGGTGGCCCAGATCCACATATTTGCTCTGGTATAGTTGTCTTCAGTTCAATCTGGTCTTCTTCTTTCTCAGATTTCTTCTGGTTTGTGTAGAAAGTCATTTCCATTTTTAAAGTTGTTGTTTCAATGTCTGGATTTTCGGTGAACTGTACTTGTTGATCTTTAAAGCACTCTGTTTTGGTATTCACTTCTTCCACTTCTCTTGTTTTTTGGATTGTTAGTTCTTTAATTGCAATCGAAGTTTTGCTTTGTACATCTGGGCTGGCACCTTGATCTTTCAGATTAGATCTCATTGTCTCGCTGGCTGTAAGAATAGTTTCAAGTGTAGATTTTAGCATAGCCAAGATTTTTTGCTGACCCTTCTCCATTTCTGGCGTAGTTGTAGATGGTCTTTCTAGTGAAGGCTGTTTATTAAACAAGAGTCAGTAAATGTTCACCTCCACAGTTCCTAGAGACCAATTTCACTGCCCAGCTGCTCTCTCATCATTAAATCTCTCAAAGATAATACCAAGGTCAGGTCTGGGCTGTGAGCAAGTCTCTTTGTCAAAAATAATAAATTGCTGTACCAAGCTTCGCAACAAGATGTCCCCGATAGTATTTAAAGTCTTTTACAAACCCCTGGCTAGGTTCTTATCCAATTTAAATCCTTTTTTGCAAATAGAATAAAATAGCAGGTCCCAGTAAGAGTAGGAACTTTTTGGGTCCCCAAATTCCAAAAAGATGTAAATCCAATTATATTAAGTTGTTTTATTCAATGCTTTATTTCCCCTGGGTAGTCAGACGCCGCCATTTTAGAGAGTGGGAGGAAAAAATTCCCTTCCCTCTCTCCTCACAGGGGAAAGAAATTTCAAGAAGCTTTTTACAGGAAAGTACTTGGGGTACACAGAAGGTAAGATCTCACCCAATTCCTCCATGTTGCTTTCAAAGTGCTTGTTGGTGAATTTGGCCTCGGCTGCCAGCAGCTTAGTGATGGGCCATGTTGATGGCCGATCTTTTCCCCGTCAGTTTGAAGAGCTGCCCTGGATCAAACGGTAGGGCTGCCGCCCTTCCGCGATCACTCGGGGGGTCCTCTTCTCGCTCATCGCCCCTACAGGGCGAATTCCGATCCTCTTCAGGGTCCCCCGGTGGGAGAAAACTGGACGATGGAGAGAGTAATCACCCCACACATCCGCCAATGCCGCGATTGCAAACTGGAAGCCGTCTTAGTACAGATTTCTAATGAAGAACTAACTTTATTGGACTTTCTAATGAAGAACTAACTTTATTGGGCAAGTTTAAACAACACATTGCTCTAATCATATTAAAAAGCATGTTTGCCAGGTCCATTTTAAAGCAGAAGTGGTTGAAGCTTTGTGAAGTTTCTGTGGATATTTGAGCTATTTTTTGTATGGGTAGTAAATATCTATTACTTGCATTTATTAATGAATCAGTTATTTAAATTATTTTTCTATCTTTTTTATAATTGCTATTGAGGAATAGTGAAAATGTATTATTTACAAACTATCTTTTTTGTTGTTGCGTGTGTCAATAAGGGATTGTTCTTTGTTTCATATTTGATCAATACCTGATTCTTTCCAATTCTCAAACTTCAATCTTTCTTTTTCCTGCAGCAGCAAGCCAGCCAGTCTGCACAGGATTCTAGCCATGTTTGTTCACCCACAGCTGTAGAAATACCATTCCTGTCAGACAATGCTAATGATGATCAGTCTGAGAGAAGAGAAGAAATTGAGATGGTATTAAATTATTGTTTTCTTCTTGCTGCATAAATATTATGAATAAGAAATTACATTCTGATGCTGTAGTTTTCTGCATCACTTGTACCTAGATTTCTAACTGAGAGATATCCCTTGAACTACTTGTATACCAGTGAATACTGTATTTATCTTCTCAAATGCAGAGAAGAATCTTTTGCACAGATTTGGACAAGATTTGATATAAAATATGTTTAATCTCTCATTCATCTTTGGATATCTGTTGGCAAATTAAACATTATGTCAAATATGTTTGTTTTGAGACTGCAGGTAGTTCTCAACTTACAACTATGGTTGAGTCCAAAATTTTCATTGCTAAATGAATCACTGCAATTGTTAAACAAATCTGGCTTCCCCCGTTAACTTTGCTTGTTGAAAGCCAGTGGGAAGGTGATCACATGACACAGGACAGTGCAACAGTCATAAATACATGCCAGTTGCAAAGTGTTTGAATTTTGACCACATCACCATAGGGATGCTGCAACGGTCATAAGCAAGAAAAGCGGTCCTAAGTCTGTGTCTGTTATAAATTCACATTGTCACTAAACAAATGGTTGTAAATTGAGGCATACCTGTACCTCTTCCACAACCTTATGCTCTCCAGTTATGTTTGAATAGAGAGTTTAGGATCATTGGCTGTGAATTATGACACGTAAAATGCAACATAAATAGAAGCCTTCAGATTGATGAAGACAACCTAGCAAGAACAGCATCCATTCTGCACTCAGATTGTTGAAAAGTTATCTTCATGTCTTCTAACTTAGAGACAGAAACATAATAGGATATATTAAGATTCACTTAAAATATTAAAGCTCTTGGTACCACTCTTATCTCAATTGTACTCATAATCTTTAATGCAGAGATTTCCTTGTCTTTGGTCAAATTGAATAGGACTTACATGGGTTAGACAACATCCAGAAGATCACCTTTGGCTTATTACTAAGTTATTATTTTACCAGTCGTAAAATATATTTTAATTTATGAAATATACCAGTTAAGTACCAGTAAAATATTTTGTATTTTAAAACAGGGGAAAATAGGAGTTGAAGTGCACCTATCTTCAAGTTGCCAAGGTTGAGAAATAGTGTTTTAAAATATTTCCTCACTGCTTCTCAAAAGATTGATGGAAATTGCATGCTGGAGTCTGATTTTATTGAAAAATATGTTCCCTTGTTAGAATAAGTCATCCACATCTTCCTTAGACAAGAGGCTTATGACTTATCTTGTAAAACTAATATAGAAAAATGATTTATTAGATGCTGAGCATAACTGATAAATTATACACCTGGATAAATTAAGTGGTATTTCCACTATTTAAGCCTATTGCCCATTCCCGTTTGATCCATATTTTTTATCATGAAAGCACTAAAAGGATTTGCAGAAGTTATCTGATCAGAGAAGATTCAAACAATTAGTTTCTAGACGAGCTGATTATTTTATTATGAAAGTCATACCTGTTAAGACAATTTGTATTTCAGCTGGCCTCTGCAGAAAGCTCCCGAACCAGATGCTTCACTTTAGAAATGTATGTAGTTAAGATTGAAAGCATTCAGTAATTGAAAAGACATACAAAGAAGTAAATAGATAAAAGGGATGAACAATGATCCTCAAAATGAGCAAACTGATGATCCAGGTCTCTGCAGTAACAGATCCATGCATTCTGCTTCCCAAAATATTCTAATTCCATTTTTGTTTTAATTGACATAGGCTGAAACCCCAGCCAAGCAGAATGATATAGAAGACTCTCAAGTTTGTGTTGTTCCTGCTCTTGATTTTTCCAGCCTTCCAAGTGCCCTCAGTGATATTCCCTGTGTACCTGTGCTAGTGAGAGAAAAAGATACGGGATTGGTAAGAATGGGAAAGCTCTTTGTATCTATTTTCCTTGGAAATATAAGTACATTCAATTTGGAATCCGGAATTTATTTGTGACTACAAGAATTTTGGTTGTTCAATTCCTCTTTTGTCTGAAAATCTGTTTCCCAAAATGTTCTAATTTTGTTTTAAATTGACATAGACTGAAACTTCAGCCAAGCAGAATGATACAGAAGACTCTCAAGTTTGTGAAGTTTGTGTTGCTCCAGCTCTTGACGCTTCCAGCCTTCCAAGTGCCCTCAGTGATATTCCCTGTGTACCTGTGCTAGTGAAAGAAAAAGATACGGGATTGGTAAGAATGGGAAAGCTCTTTGTATATATTTTCCTTGGAAAGATAAATACGTTCAACTTGGAATCTGGGATTTATTTGTAACTACAGGAATTTTGATTGTTCAATTCCTCTTTTGCCTGAAAACCTGTTTCCCAAAATGTTCTAATCTCATTTTGTTTTAAATTGATATAGATTGAAACTTCAGCCAAGCAGAATGATACAGAAGACTCTCAAGTTTGTGTTGCTCCAGATCTTGACGCTTCCAGCCTTCCAAGTGCCCTCAGTGATATTCCCTGTGTACCTGTGCTAGTGAGAGAAAAAGATAATGAATTGGTAAGAATGGGAAAACTCTTTGTATATATTTTCCTTGGAAATATACGGTAAATACGTTCAATTTGGAATCTGGAATTTATTTGTGACTACACGAATTTTGGTTGTTCAATTCCTCTTTTGTCTGAAAATCTGTTTCCCCAAATGTTCAAATCTTGATTTTGTTTTAAATTGACATAGACTGAAACTTCAGCCAAGCAGAATGATACAGAAGACTGTCAAGTTTATGTTGTTCCAGCTCTTAACTCTTCCAGCCTTCCAAGTAGCCTCAGTGATATTCCCTGTGTACCTGTGCTAGTGAGAGAAAAAGATAATGAATTGGTAAGAATGGGAAAACTCTTTGTATATATTTTCCTTGGAAATATAAGTACGTTCAACTTGGAATCTGAAATTTATTTGTGACTACACGAATTTTGGTTGTTCAATTCCTCTTTTGTCTGAAAATCTGTTTCCCAAAATGTTCAAATCTTGATTTTGTTTTAAATTGATATAGATTGAAACTTCAGCCAAGCAGAATGATACAGAAGACTGTCAAGTTTATGTTGTTCCAGCTCTTAACTCTTCCAGCCTTCCAAGTAGCCTCAGTGATATTCGCTGTGTACCTGTGCTAGTGAGAGAAAAAGATACTAGATGGGTAAGAATGAAAAAACCCTTAGCATATATTTTCTTTGGAAATATATGTAGGTCCAATTTTGAATTTTGAATTTATTTGTGACTACATGAATGTCAATTGTTCAGTTTCTCTTATGTCAGAAAGTCCCCAAGAAAGCTACTCCCTAGGAATTAGTTGAAGTTTAAACATGTATGGTAGGCAGCAATCTGTAAAAGAGTATTTTGTGTGTCCTCCACTTCCCTTTGTTGTCTTAATCTATCTGTTTGGTTTCATTTATCTGTAGTTGTACACTTGGGAAGCTGCTCCTTTTCATTCATTCATTCATTCATTCATTCATTCATTCATTCATTCCCCATCAAATACAAATAAATCAAGGCAGTGAAAATATCCAACACACCTTCCTATTTTCCCCACAACAGGCTGAAAACCAGAGAAGATGGGCACCTGAAGATTATCAGGAGCCACCCTGGAGTGTGAACCAAACTGACCAGTGTCACAAAGTCTCTGAATGTTACAAAGATTCAGTAAGTTGATTCTGGTCATAATGAAAAGAAATGTTAGTAAGAGAAAATGAAACCTAGATGTGGGATATGAATGAAGATGATTGAGGAGTATAGAGAGGAGGAGAAACAGTTGCTTCCAAGAAAAGCAAAGACCTACTTTGACACTTTAAAGCATCTCCAACTTGTAGATAACCTGTAGATATATACAAGTCCTATAGTTCACATAGTCTGTTATTTGAAAAATTAAAGGGTGATCTCAATATGTTTTAGGATAGAAAAAGAGAGAATTGTTGTGCTCTGTGGATAAAGTTAAACTTGGGATGGGGGGAAAAACATAATGTGTCACAATTGTACAGTGGAATTAGCATTCATAGGCCAGGAAGCTAAGAGATTAACATTTTAGCCTAGAGTTTAGTATTAATGACACTCTGAATTTTCATGAGTGGTTCTGAGTTCGAAATTGAAAAAGATGGATTTGTCTTGATTCTTTATTGGTCTCATTCTCTTTTCAGGTATCTACTTCTATTTCTTCTAATGAAAAACATAATGTTGAAAGCCTGATAGAATCCAAGTCAAGTTTTCAAAAGATTCATCACAGCACCAATTCCAAGCATTCTAGTACAAATCAGACCTCAAGAGACTTACATAGACAAAGTTCAAGATCCTACGGCAGGCAAGATTGTAGCTCAAGATCTTCTGGCAAGAGAGACCCATCCACTGAAAGACAGGACAGAAGTTCAAAATTATCCTGTAGGCGAGAGCATAGTTCAGGATCTTCCCACAAACAAGAAAACTCCCCTCAAAGAAAGAAGCATAAATCAAAAACTTCTTGCAGACAAGAACAGTCTTCTCAGAAAGAGGACTCTAGCCCAAAAACATCTCTCATGCAAGAACATGGTGTGAAGGCAATGTGCAAGCGAAAGCGTACTTCAAGATCCCCTCCAAAAAGGAAACAAAATTCAAGATCTGAGAAGTTGGATAGGTACTTTGGATAGCTAATGTGTGTGTGTGTGTGTTTTTAAGGAACCAGGCAAGTAAGAAAAAGTAGGGCCACATGGATAGGACAAATTAAGAAAAGGACCATGAAAAAAAACAGGAATTCTCATAGCAAAAAGAAAATAGTAGGTGGATATATTCAGATTAAGTGCTCTTAGGAATGTTCTAGTGGGCATCAGACTGAGATACAGACATTTCCATATAAACACCAGCTTTGTCCTCAGACTTTTTGAATTTTTTTTTACTTCATTGCTGCATCTTCACTGTGTTTTGCCCTCCCATTGAGCCAATTAGTACTTCATTCAGGTGGCAAATGTCTTTAACCAGTGAATATGTTTGTTTTTAGTTTGTGAGAGTAAGACTTAATCTTACATTCTTAACCATCTTAAAAGTACCTTGAATTTTAAATGGGATGTATTAGTTAGGTCAGATGCAGAAGAATGCTGCCGCTCAAATGAGTCCTTTTCTCCCCCGTCAGGTGGAAAGAAGTTGGGAAGTTGGGAAGAAGTTGTGGCTTCCATTGCCATTGCCATTGCCAACAGAGCTGCAGTCCATCCCGAGAGAGTTTGTGGCAGAGATGTTGCTCTCCTCCTCGTTTAACTTGTAAAATAAAACACCTCCATGTTTCCAGAGGTTTGCTTTTTCTGAGGATTCTGGTTTTATATCAGAAATAGTTCAGAATGTAACCTATTTTGTTCTCATTGAAGGGACTGAGTTTTAGTACCTTTAGGAGAGTTTCTTAATAAATTATTGTGGGTTAGCTTTTTCTCTAAGCTTCAACCAGAGGTTATAATTGAATGCTTTTTTCTTGATAATGTGATCTCCAAAAGGAAAACTAAAGGCTTAGTATTGAATTAATAAAAGTGGCCAATGAGATGCCTATGGGAAGCCCAGAATTATCAAGCAAATTGAAAGGCATGTGTTATAAGTTTATTGAAGTGCCTTTCAATGTCGGCAGGAATAATTTACATCTTGTAATGAATTCAAGAGATTGATTGAACTTTTTATGAAGAAATACTTCCTTCCATGAGAACACGATTATATTTTGGAAAAAAACTTCGTAAATTAAGAACAAAGTAATAATTGGGCCTTGTTGAATATCTTTTTGGATAAAGATTTCTAAAATTACATGGAAGGATATATGACTACAATTTAATTTAATTTATATCGTGCTTTTAAATTTTTTACAAATAACTCAAACTGGTAAACTATCTAACACGCCTTCCTCCTATTTTCCTCACAACAACAACCCTGTGACTTGGGTTGGGCTGAGAATGATTGACCCAAAGTCACCCACCTGGCTTTCATGACTAAGTGAGACTTGAATTCACAGTCTCCTGCTTTCTAGCCCAGTGCCTTAACCAATAGACCAGTATTTTATTTTATTTTTTATTTTATACCACTCTGATATTGTTTTCTACTTCTTTGTTTGCATTTGTATTGTTTTGGTCTTGGAATAGAAAACCAAGCATCTCTATGAAGAAAATAATAATCTGTGTCTGATTTTGTTTTTATTTCACAGAAATAAGTAATGTCTATGGAATGCCATACCACTTTTCTCCAGAGAGATCTATTGCGGTAAGAAAATACGGTTTTATCCTCCTGCTGACCATGCTAGATGAGGGTGAAGAGAAACTAATAAATGATAGCATATCAGAAGAGATGATGCAAAGATGAAAGTGTATTCCCGCTTCTTCCATTATGATGAAAGGAAATTCAGACTGTCTGCTTTAGGAATTAACATAAAGGTTATGTTAATTCTTGGGTACTGAGGGCCACAGAGGATGGACTTTGTAATACTTGAAACATGGTTTTTGCAATACTGTTGCACTGACTAATTCACATGGGTTTTCTTGTATTTTAAATTTGCTTTTTCAATTGCATTGCTGATAATTTCCCATAAGTCTTAACCTTCAAGAAAAAGTCTCTCTTTCACAAACCAGGATCGGCAGGAGAGCATTCAGCACATTGTAGATAACAGTTTCATTTTTAGCTGTTCTCAAGCCTCCAACCTTGAGAAGCACTAAGAATGTATCTTTTGATGTTTTTTGTTCGCCAATGTTTCTTTCTTTTACCTTTATTCAGAATACAATGCTTTTTTTTATGGCTATGCTGTAATTCTTGTGATGTGACTGAACAGATGACTATTTTTAAACCAATCAGCTTTTGCTTTGAAGTTCTTTGTTGTGCTAACTATAAAAGTAAATGTAATCCATTTCTGGGGGTCCCCCCTTTTCATAGGGAGACCACACTTTATCAGAGTACTCTAAATGATCTTTGGACTTGGTTGCTTATTGGAAAAGGAAACCTAGGGCCAGATTTGGCCATCAGTATCCAGCCCAATTTTTCTCATTTTCTTGTCTTTTGCCCCTAGGAGAGGCAAAGTTGGTAGGAGACCCTGGTGTAGGTGAAAGATACTAGGCTGCAATTAATATTTCACTATCAGTTTAAGAATCTACATTCAGGAATCTCCTGGAAACTTATTTGATAACCATCACATACATTGTTTATATTTTGATTGGCCTTTTGGTATTTGAGTTCTATTACCAATTTTCACGTGTCTATTATATGATTGGTAATACCTTTAAAATTAAGTATGTGTGCTGTTGTCCTTTTTCTACATTTGTTCCTTGTGTTTGTATTTTGTTATTCACTTACCCTTCCAGGAAATTATCTCACCATAAAATCATTCTGGGAAACTGGACGCTTAATTATCCATTATATACTGGATAATTAGTATAGATAAGCACTAGGCTTAATATAGTTTTAGTTTGCTGTTATTAAATAAACTTATCTCCCAGGGGAATCACCCATGTCCCATCCAGATGTCTTTGGACTACATTGGTGCAATTATAGTTTGTTTGATTAACAAATAGGGCAGAGCGATTCTGCTGTAGGATCTGCAATTTAGCCTACCCGTGGCAACTGGTTACTTACAACCACTTGCTATAAATGTCTGTTTATTCTTCACTCACATATTAACACAACTACATGATCCCAAAGTGTATATAACTTTTGTGTATAACTTGTTACATTCCACATACACATCCATACAATTGTCCATGTAAGTTTTATAGGACTAATAGAGAGGACCCAAATCCCTCCAAAATGTTCAAGAAAAATCCTCAATAAAAATTTATCAAAAGCTTAGATTTTAGAATAAGGCATAGTGCTTAGCTTGTGAAAATGTAAGCCCAAATGTACTATGAGACAAGACATAAGGCACAAACAGGAAACATTTGCATATATTATAGCTAAAAATGGTTCCCAGAAGTGAACACTTTCTGGAAGATGTTATGAAATATGTAGAAACATGATTAGCCAATGTACAAGTTAGGAATAGTTTTGCTGAATACAGGTAATCTTTGATTTACGACCATAATGGAATCTGCCAATTAAGGTCAGGAATTGGGATGGCCATTAAATGAACCACCTCACTTAATGATTCCCATCCCTGCTCTCCCCAATGCAAATCATTAAACAAATGAACAAGTTGTTAAGTGGAGCATGAGGTGAACAGCTGTATAGCTGTCTTGTGAGTGAGAAACTATGGGGAAGGAAAACAGTGGATGTGTTTGCCTTTCCCTATTATACTGCTGCCTTTTCTCCTTGGAATGGCAAGTGGCAGGAAATGCAGGAAAAGCATGATTCAGTATTTCACATGCAAGCCAATCAGCTGTGCAGCAGGTAGACAAATGAACAGGAGGCATTCCCCCCCCCCCGGATATGTTCCTCCCTCTGGAAGTGAGCACCATTTTGAAATGCCCACAATTCATTATGGCCACTCTGAAAATGGCACTTGGTTCCGGACCGCAGCCATGCTGTCTAATGGCATCAAGCAATGGGCAGCTTGCTCTCATTCCCAGTGCAATCTGCAGAGCTTCCCAGAAGGAGGTATGTGTGAAAAGATAAATGAGTGATTGGTGATGGAGGCAGGGAGGAACATGTGGGACCTGGTGGCATGGGAAAGCAGGCCCAGTGACTATGGGGTCCCAGATGGATAGGGAATAGATGGGGGGCATCTGCAGTGGCTCTGTGGTCAGTCATAAGGTTGAACAATCATGAGAGCTCTACAGCTGCCATAACTTTGAAACCAGGTTGTAACTAACTTTTGCAGAGTCTGCCATAACTTTGAACCATCACTAATTGACCAGTTGTAAATTGAGGACTACCTGTATTGCATTGTATGTATGTAGAAACACTGAGATGTTGGTGTTAGGACACAGAAAACATCTTGTGGCCCTATAAACATGAAATATGCTGGAAATTGGGGTGGATACTGTATAAAACCCAGCAGTGGGCATTGAGAGGGTGTACAAGCTTTAAGAGAGATCTCCTTGTGTGCTTTCTTCTACAGAATAAAATCAAGTTTACAATCCCACCTTGGTGTGCTCAAGGGCATACCAGTATTGGGTTGGGACAACAGGATGAATATTGTATATTTTAGTAGTGTTGCAACTCCTAGAATTGCCAGCGACAGAACCTAGCAGCCTTTCTTCAGATATTCCTTATGCTTGTATGCAAATAATTAGGTTAAATTGGTTGTTTTAGTAAATGTCTAAGTGAACATATGCTGACAAATTTCCATATGGTACAAAGTTAACACGATATTTTTCTGCTAATCTACATGCAAACTTCCTATTTATGTGCAGCTCTTTAGAAAAGAGAATGTGGTAGGTACAAAAATTTGGACACCCTTTCTAACATTTTTTTTGGCAGAAGTATCAGCTTCTAAACATTTCTTATAACCAGTTAAGGGTCTTTTTATTCTTCCTTTCAAACTTTTATGTTTATGTTTGTTTTGTTTTGTGCTTTTTTCCCCACTATTCTTCCTTGCAGAACCAAGAAACTCTTCTACGTTGAAGATTCGTTCTCCGAGTTTGTGGGTTGGTTTCCAAACATTTCGTTACCAGGCTATGTAACATCTTCAGCAGCATCTAAGGGATGTCTGTAAACACTGCTGAAGATATTACCTAGCCTGGTAATGAAACATTCTGAAACCAACCCACAAGCTCGGAGAACGAACCTTCACCTTCATCCTACACCTGAGCTACAGATATTCGCCACTATTGCAAACTCTTCTAGCTCAGAAATATTCTTAGGACTCCTTATGTATGCTGAATGTTTGAAATCCCCCCACAAGTTACAGTAATATTCAAATCTGTGGACTGCAAAGTCTATTCCAAAAACCTTTCTCTGAAGCATACAATTTAACCAGGGATATCTAAATTTTTGCATGCAGCTGAATACCCTTTAAATTTTATTTATTTATCTTCACTGGACAGTAAATACTGGTGGCAAATGCACCAACATTGCTCCGTGTTTGTTTGTTTGTTTTAAACAGGTGTCTTTCTGGTATTATCTCAGTACTTGCCTTTGGGATGCTAACATGATCTTTTCTCCTCTGGGCCTGTAGAATGAAAAGGAAATAAGAGAGAGCAGACAATTGGTGGAACCTAAGATAATTGAAAAGAAGAAAAAAGCAACATCAAAGACTGGAAGGAAGGTTTTGAAGGTAGTTTATAATACATATGGATTTCCAGAGGCTATGTGAAATAAGCCATATCTTAATTATATACATGCTTTTGATTGTGTGAACATATATATGCATAGACATCTGTGGGGAGTAAAGGAGGATGTTGTCACATGTCATAATGCATTCTCAGGAATGATGTGATTAAGTATTGTACACAATGAAAGTTAACATCCAAAAATTCCCTTTAACTTACATCTAGTTTCTCACAATACAAGTAGTCCTTGACTTACAACTGGTCATTTAATGACTATTCAAAATTGACACCATTTTTATGGTCCATAAAGCATTTCCAGTTATCATAAAACATTGTGCTGCTCCCCTCCCAGTCACACGTTTGTGATCTGGGTGCTTGGTAACCATTCACACTTAAAATCGGTTGTCAAGCGCCCCACAATGTGATCTCCATTTAACAATGTTCTCTGTTAAATTCTCCAGAAAGTCAGTGGGGAAGCCAGCAGGGAAGGTTGCAAGCTGCTGCCATCAGCAAAAGGATTTCCCCTGCATGCATGGAGCAGTATTCTTGTGCTGGGCTGGAGAAACAAAGCTTAAGATTCCAAAGATCTGACCTTCGTTTCTCCAACCCGCAGCAAGCTCTCAAAAGGCTAGGGAACTGGTCCTTTTTTTTGCCCCAGAAAGGCAGGGGCAACTTAGCAGGATGATGGGCAGTGGCAGAACCAAGAAAGGCAGGGGGCTCAATGTTTGCCTTCCCCATTTGTTTTTTGCTGGCAAGACAGCTGTTTGTGGGCACATCTGAGAGCCATCCAAGGGATGGGAAGCATCTTGGGATGGGGGAAGCCTTAGGAGGCTTGACACAAGTGGGCTTGAGCCTGCACTAGGCCTCCCAGGATCTCCCCCACCCCCACCCTGAGGCACTCCGTGTTGCACTTAAGGATCTGTCGATGGAGAGAGCAGAGATGGCTGATCTTTACCTGAGGCAGTTCATTTAACGTTTGTCCTGACTTTCAACCCTAATGGGCAGGCTTCATTACAGTTATAACTCGAAGACTATCTGTATTGGAAAGTTGGATCTACTTTGTACCCAAAATTACTATATACATTCTAGACCTCCTTTTTCCTAAGTATTCAAAATACGAATAGTCTAGTTTTATGCAATCCTTTGTAGCAGTTTTTTTTTTAAATTGAGGAGGCTGTTAGCTTTGTTAACTACATATCTCATTGAGAAATTTGTTGATACAGCCATCAACCAAAAAGAAAGAAACAACCTCTTCTTGCCACCTTAACGCTGAAGAAGAAACTAATTCTTCAGCCGCATCCTGGACTCCTAAGGACCGCTCTGCAGCAGTGCTGGCAAGAAAAGAAGAGCTTGAACAGGTAAGGGAGAAACTGAGCTTCCCCACTAGCTCCCAAACATGACTGATGAAGATAACAAAAGAAATGGTAAGAGAGGAAAGAAAGAAAAACACTTTAGAAAACTAGTTTTGGAGTCAGAGGACTTAGCTTGTGCATTTCACCTGCATGATTAAGGATTGGGCTTCTTTGTATTCCTTTATTTATTTTCAGGCCACTTATATCTGAGACTGGGATCAAGACCTACAAAATCAGGGAACATAAGCACACATTATAAACTCTAAATCTTAATTTGTAAATTAGATTCTGAGAATTCATGATTTGTTTATAGTGAGTATGAAAGGAAGATGGCCCTGATGAAAACAGGGGGGTAATATTGCATGTTTCATTCAAGGTCATCTTTCTTACTCAATATGCCTGCCTTTAATACTCCAGAAGTTGCTGAACAATGACCATCAACATTTCCACAATTGGCCATGAAGAGGTTTTTCAGAAGGCCCAGCTTTGCCTCCCCTGCTTTAAAAAAATAACTTTGTTTTTCAGTGTCTAGTTGACAACCTTTGTTTCAAAGAATTTATCTTCTCTGTCCAATTAGTGTACATTTTCAGTGTTACATCCATAGTTGAGCTCAGTGATGTTCCAAACGTGGATGGGGCTGTGACACAAGGGGAACTTTANTCATCTGAATTCTAATCATTTGAAATAATACTGCTACTATCCACATGCATACCATATCCAGTTTACTCCAGAAGTGCTTTCTGAGAAAAACAAGGACAAAAAATTGCAAACGTGGATGTTTTTGTGTATTCTCTACTTTGAACTTTTTAAAAACAATGATACATATTTACTTTTATATATTCTTGGGTGCCCCCCCCCCCATTTTATGCTCTTCTGATCATTGCCACAGACCCAGTGATTAATAGATCAGTGGTTCTCAATCTGAGGGTCGGGACCTCATTTGGGGTCGATCGACCATTTCACGGGGGGCACCAAGCAAGGCTGTCCGCCATTTTTTTTTGTCCGCCATTTTTTTCCCCTTTTCCGGCGGGTGCCTTACCTCCCTTGGGCTGGGCCAGCTGGTGGTCGGCCTGCTCCGTCTCTGCCGCTTGCCAGCTACGCCTCGGCGGCGCAGGGGGCGGAACCACGCATGCGCGGCGCTCCCGGGCAGGGAAAGTCCTCGACTTACGACCGGTTTAGTCCTCGACTTACAACCGGTTTAGTCCTCGATTTACGACCGGTTTAGTCCTCGACTTACGACCGGTTGGGGTCGCGGCATTAAAAAGGTTGAGAACCACTGTTATAGATGGAGTATCAGTAGTGTGGTCTTAAAAATGCCTTGCTTATTCATTGGCCTGATGGAATTTGGTCTTTCACTTTAGGCCTACCTGCAGGTCCTTCTCAACTTTGGAGTAATAGCCATGATGCTGGTGGAAAAGGAACCCTGCATGATAGAAGCAATGAGCTCAGCACTACGAGCTAACCTGAGAAAGATTGGAGACTACTATGAACGCCTGCTAAAGAACTACATTGACAGCTTAACTGAAGCCAGCTGAGAAGACATCGCATTGCCAAATCTACCTAATGTAACTGGAGCATTTTCTAAGTCAATTAAGTTTTCTATTCTTCAGGCCTGGAATAAAGCGATAACCTTGGAGAAGGCCTCCTTTTGGCAGCAGAGCTGAGAAACCACATTCTCCTGCCATAGCTACAGAGTGCAGAAGTGACAGCTAGCAGATTTGAAAGCATTATTGTGATATCAATCCAAGAACTTTGGAAGAGAAAATTGGGAGGAGGGAAGCAAAAAAACTGTTAAAAAGTTGAGTGTGATGCCTAATGGATTCTGAATGGCTCAGGCAACTCAGATCAGGCAGTAACTGGAATAAGAATAGAATCTACTAGATTTATACTTTGAGTTACACGGAGACATCACATGTTATTGGTAATAGACAAAAAGTTCTTTTTTAGGGTATTAAAAATACGGTTGAGCAGTTTTGAATGTTGGTCTTTGTGCAGAAGCAAGCTGGAGAAGATCTCTCTGTTCTGTGATGTTCCAGTAATACTCAAGAGAAACCCTGGTAAAAATAGCATTTGCTCCTTTCAAATCTATGAAGTAGCATTTTTAAAAAAAAATAAAATCATTTTGAGACAACTTATCTCTCAGAGAGCTGCCTTTGTTTGGTGAGTTTGCCTTCAGTTTGCCTTGTTCCTATTCAGACATATATTTCTTAAGTTTCTGGTTGAGGTTACCAAGTTAAGCATTCAAATAAGATAATGAAGGCAGGCTTAATCCATCTTTTCTTTATCTCAGCATCTTTTCAATATATCTTTATGTGGAACTTTGGACAATAAATAAAGGTCCACCACAGGGTTTTAAGATTTTATGTACACCAAATAAAAGAATTACTATTTAGATCATATTATCCCGTTCTCTGCATTAGAATACATAACAGTATGTTGCTCCTTCTTTAATCTTCATGTGGTACAAATGACTTTCTGCAATTTCTCATTTTTCCAGTTATGTTGGGCTAGCAACATGGTTTAGAGCTAGAAAATTTCTGTATCTTATTTTTGGAAGAAAATTGAATGACCTACCATATAGCCCTCTGCCCTGATTTTGACTCATCAGCTAAGGGACCCTTCACACAAGAAAATATAGCAAAAACAAATGTATGGCTGATGGGTGGGAAAATAGGACAATCCCAAAAAATGGAATAGCATTGAATCCACATACAGCTTCTTAGCAAGATCCAGTGTAAGTAATAATTGCTGTTTAACCCATTTTATCATCTTCCTAGTGTTATTTCCACAGAAGCAGGATCCGCTTTTCAGGTCAACAAACGCCATCTTGCATAATCAAACACAGCTGGGTCATGTCTGCATTTTGATGGAGATGGCTGCAGATCCATTGGTTGCAACAACAAAAAAATCCTGACTGACTGGCTTGTCGTCTGGGCCTGACCTTGGTTTGGTCTGTGTTCAGCTTAGCACTTCCCTGACTGACAGGCAGTATCCAAGAGCACCCACTAGGAGGAGCAGGCCTCACTGCCTGCTGTCTAACTCATAAAGGCATTACATTTTTCCCTAACATAAAACAAGACTTCATGGCAAAGAAAGGACATTTTTATAAAGCATTATTACATGATGGAGTCCCAAGATTTTTGTTGACAGCTAGATTTCAGTCTTTAAGTTCTGATATTACAAATTGCTTATTAATCACACAATAAACACACAAATGTTATACACAGAGACTAAAATACAAACATTAATTTCTGCTGGTTAACAATCACAATAAAGTTGATTTGATCTGAAACATCAATTAAATTGTTAAAATTATACTTGTTAAACTACGTAGTAAATAGCTGATTTCCAAAACAAACTGAAACACTTAATGCAAATGACAAATTCCAAGTAACAAGATACAAGTGTAGACATTTGAATTTTCCAGAATTCTTCATCAGCAAATGTGGTGTGCAAAGCAAAAATGGGAAAGGGCTAATTTACTACTTTGTTCCCCCTGCCTAAGTGTCACCCCCTAATTTAACTCAGTGTGTGGCTCTGGCCAATGCATACAAGGGATCTAGCTGACATTTCAAAGCAGTTCTGACCTAAGGCAGTCTGAATATCCTTTCAGTTCCTGATCTGCATGCCTGGTTGCTGAATTTTAGAAAGATAATACTGTAGGCTATTTGTATTAGGTATGTCTGGGTAGTCCTGATAATTAAGAAAATAACCATGTTTTCTGGTAGATATCTTTTGTTTACAGTTGAGGAAAGGCCATTAATCAAATCAGACACAATTTCTAAACTCCCATTCCACTTGCCTCTTCTATGGCTTTTACCTTATGTTTTTATTAACGTTTCCTGTAATAGGAAGCAATTGTTCTCCACCTTGCCTTAAAATCTCTTTCTTGTCTTACAGCTAGTTTGAAGCAGTATTAAAAACTGATCATATACTGACCATAATTTAGTTTTTGGACTGCACTTCAGTTTGTCATCTAACTCACTGTTGAAATAATTGGCTATGGAAATGACTACAGGGGAGGTGAGGAGAGCTTTGATCTGTGGAACATTACTATTTCATGGTGTTTATGTGTTGTCAACAAAGGATTTGTCTAGGACAGGGGTAGTCAACCTTGGCTCTGCTATGACTCGTGGACTTCAACTCCCAGAATTCCTGAGCCAGCTAAGCTTGAAGCCAGTGCCTTCACTGCTATAACAATACATTCTTGTGGCCTGACAAGAGGTCTCAGTGCCACATCTGATGTTATTTTTCTACCCTTTTTGTCTATAGTTGAACTCTGTATGCTCCACCAAAAGTGAATCACATCTCCAAACCACTTACCTCGCCCACTTTTCTTTTTGAATTCACTCTTAATCTGTCATTGATTTGAAAACATTAAAATCTCTATAGACTGTTGCTTGAATTCCTGTGTATCTGACCCACTAATCTGACATTAGCCTCAAATCTCATTTGATAAATTGTATTTTATTTCATTGTTTTAATAACATATAGTCTACAACATCCAATCAGAACTGCTGCTATAGGAGGCCCCAGTTTGTAACAGTGATTTAATGTTCCAACCACAAGTGTGTGTTTAATTACAGTCTTGATAAGAGTGTGGGAGTCAGCTGCAGACATTCAAATGAGGCTGTATCCGATGCCGAGATAGGAAATCTGAGTCAACATGAAAATAAGTCTTGTAGCATAATGTTTTGGAAAAACATCTCAAGTACAGAAAACAAGTATAAGATCAAACCTGTTTCCTTGACAGGTGAAAGAGCATTAAGTGGTTAGTTTCTTCAGAGCAAACTTGGAGTAATCATCCTGTCGACCTGAAATACTCCCTGTGCTTGGCAGAGCCAAAGTTGAATACTGTAGCTGTTCCCCAATATCAAAACTAAATACAGTAATACAGTCTGGTAGCCTTTTTCTTTCTTTCTTTCTTCAGCGTCTATCTTACGAAGAAAATTTAAGAATTAATTTTAAACTCTTGAGTGAGCCAAATGAAAGGGGTTTAGAGATTTTTCTTATAGCCAAGATGGCAGTTACCTTTATTTGGTTTTAATAAAAATGTACTGACTTGTTAGAAATAATTCTCCATGGCACCCAAAATTATAAAACAAATGCTGACTTTATCTGCTTTTTGGACTTATCAGCCTTGCAGCAGGAAGAGAATGGGAATATTTATGCATGCATACAAGCATCGTTGAGCAGGTTTCTGATACTAATTTTAATCTATTCATTGCAGAAGATGATCTGCTTTCATTACTATCTCTTTCCCCTTTGCTTTACTCTGTTCAGATGGCTGTTGTCTGCCTGCTAGGATATACTACAGTGTTTGCTATTGGCTCTTGCTCTGGCAGCCCACCCCATTCCTTTCCCAAATGTTTCCTGCTCCATGTTGGTGAAAGCTATGCATCTGGAACCAGGCTTTGGAATTGGCTTCCCAAAGAAGAAACCTTCTGGCTCAGAGTCAGAAGAGGATGAGGATGAGCAAGTGAGGTACTTGGCATCATCTTGTTCCATAGTAGCTTCCTGTTCCCCATTGCTGCCTTCATGCAATCTGTGTGGAAAATCCATAATTAATACAGATGCCTGTGAGGTTACAGAGGGTCTGCTTTTGAAGTGGAAGTCTGCTTGTTGCCGAGATGTTTCTTGAAAATATGTTTTTAAATTGTGATTATCCCTCACAACTGTGGTGCTCCAAGCTGTGTCCATGGGATGAGAGATGGAGATTCGTACATCCTCTTGAGGTGAAACAGTCACGGACTCAAATACATGAAGCTGTGGGGTGATAGTTCTGTTTCTGAAAGAAACTGATTCCTCTTGGCTGTCAAACTCAGCATACACTGAGGGATTCCCACATGAGTGAAGCCTTTCAGTCACTGCAAAAGGAATTAAAGATTAGCAGTTATGAGAAATGAGGATGATCCTGATTACTGAATAATTCCTAGAAAACATTCCAATAACCATTTTCTGGTATCAATGAGTTAGCAAGCGGTTGAAATGTCCATACAGGCTTGTTCACACATTACTGAACTTTATAGCTTATTTTTACTCTGGTTTCTTGTATAAACTATAAAAGCTTGATTCACAGAATCTGCTAAGACATAAATCATGGCTTAGAAACTACAGTAGCTAGGCCCATGTACCACACAGAATCAAAATCAAACATTATGGCTTTGCATTTTTTAACTCAGCTAAGGGTTCCAGTTATTCTATGAAGCCATTTCATAGATTTATTTATTTATTTATTTATTTATTTATTTATTTGATTTGTATCCCGCCCTTCTCCTTACCGGACTCAGGGCGGCTGACAGCCTTATAAAACAAATACTACAATAAATACCTAATTTAAAACCAAATTAAAAAGAAATATTTAATATGGCCTATATAATTAAAATTTCTCTTAAAAACCCCACTAAAAATTCCCTAGGCCAATCCCGCTTGTTGGAAGAGCCATGTCTTTAGGGCGTGGCGGAAGGAGGGGAGATCCGGGATCACCCGGATCTCTGGGGGTAGTTCGTTCCAGAGGGTGGGGGCTCCCACCGAGAAGGCCCTCGCCCTGGGGGTCGCCAGCCGGCACTGTCTGGCTGACGGCACCCTGAGGAGACCCACTCTGTGGGAGCATACCGGCCGATGGGAGTTGGAGTCATTTAAGTTACAGAGTCATTTAAGTTACAGAGTCCTGCTCACTGCAGGAATCCAAATTAAAGCTCTATCTGAAAGCTGTTTGGATCAAAGGAAAACTCAGTATTTTTTTCCTCTGTCTTTCTAGTTGTAACTGCTCTTAAATTTTGATTGCTCTTCAGTTAGAATCTGATATTCCCTAATGTGACTGTATAATCTCTCCTAGAAGTTTGCCTGCTCTGTAGTTCCCTGGATTCTTCTTTTTCCTGTTTGTGAAGATAGAGATAAAGCTGTCCTTCTGTAGCCACGTTCGCTAAACTGGTCCTGCAGGATTTCTCAAAGAGAATGTATAATCATATATAATCCACCAGTTATGTTGACCAGACCATCAGCAAATTGCTTTTGTATTCCATTCAAATTCAAATTCAAGTAGGCAATTCTTATATTTTTATCAAGCTAGAACTGGAAACCTGCTTCTTCAAACAGTTCTTCATAACTGGCTGAAGAAAAGAGTGACTGAAAATAGGAGTCAATTAGTTCTGCCCTTTTTGTTGTTATTCTCTGTTAGTTTTATGTGCTATTCATGAAATGACTGGAACACTGCTTCTTTGAAATGTATCTGATTATTCTTAGCATCTTTAATTATAGTTTTCTCATCTACATGTCTTCCATGTTTACAAGCCTCTTTTTCTCTCTTAATGAGTGTCCTTTTTAACTTTTCAAATCTTCACTAAGCTTTGGGGGAAATTATATTAGTTTTTTCTGCTATCTACATTTTTTTCCTCTTTGGAATTCTTTGCAACTGTGCTTTTAAGAACTTCTGTTCTATAAATTCTTATTTATCTTTCTCAATTTCTTTGTATTCATTACTGTTCTGAATTCATTAAAATCTGCTTTTTTGACATCTAAGATATGTAATCAACTACACTGAGCATTAGTTTCTATTAATTTCAAGAATTCCAGTATTATATCATCATTTTCATCCGAAGGTACCATTTCTACTATTATTTCTATTGTTGTCTGTATTGGAAACTACCATCAAGTCAATGATTGGTTGGCTATTTTTGAAGTCCTAGAACCTCACAGATTTTCCTCCCTCTTAGCACATGTTCATCTGCCATCTCTGAGTTGTGAGAACAGACAGATAATAGTTGTCAGCTGCCTTCTTCCTATGTCGGCACACTGGCATAGACTGCCTTCAAATGTGCAGTGATAGAAGTCAGTTGGAAGTTCAGTGGAAGTATATTGAGGATATATTACCTACAGAATCTTAAATAAGACTGCATGAGACATTCAATGATAGAAAATCTTCATTTGGGCAGGATCAAATAGCATCTGTTCCACCCAAACCTCGATAGAGGATGACATGCAAAAGCCTTACCAAGTGCACCTCCCCTTTCCCCACAGCCATCTCTTTGAGTTCTCGCAGTTTCAGAGGAGCAGTCAGGGCTGCTGTTTCTACCTCTTGAAATTGGGGTGGAGTCGGGGGATGGAGCAGAGATGAAAGCAGAGTCAGAGGAATCCGAGCCACTGGAAGACAAAGCTGATTCCTTTTCCAAACTACAGGCCTCAGAGCAGAAGAGAAGACCATGGTGAATGGTGATCGGCTGACCCAGCAGTGCTTTACGGCAAAGGCTGCAACAGAAACACGAGGCTTCGCTGTGCCAGTGTTGACCTTGTAGTACGATCTGTTTACTGTTGAGGCCTGTGAGAAGACAGCAATCAACAATCATTTCCTCTCCTGCACTGTTGCTGGAAAACTATTTATGTCCTAACTTGGTTGAGAACAATCTGCCTGTTATGTTGCAGACTTTTAAACGAAATCAAGTTTCAAAATGTGTAAACAAAAGACAATAAAAGATTAATATTAAATCAGAAGTTTTTATAAACATGAAGCAGCCTTGCATGCTAAATTAAGTTTTAACATTGTGATCCTTGTCCAAACTTCACAAAGCTATATAACAGCACTAGAGAGATTGATTTTATATTACTCTTGCTTTTACTTTTCTTGGTTTATATCTTGATAGAGGAACCTCTGGCCTTCCAGCTGTTGTTGAACCACAACTTCCAGAATTTTGTATTATCAGGCGGCTTTGAAAACAGATTAAATTCCTACTGTAACACTATCTCACATACAACCACTCACTCAGAAGTGAGAAGCAGAGATTTCAAAGGAACATATTCCTTGACAGTAAGTGTAGGATTCCAGCCACAAACCAATGGCTAACAGTCACAAAATAACACCTAGTGATATGGCCATAAAATGGGGACAGCTAATATAACTTGCTCTTGCTTGCTCTTAGACACCTATATCATCACAAGAGATCATCATTTAAACACTGATGTTTATGCTATATGTTGATAGTATCATGAAGAATATTAGAAGTATAAAAAGTAATAGTAAAGTCAATCTAACAGCTTATCAAAACGGGGGAAAAGGTGCTGTATAATTGCATTAATAGTTTTATCTCAATATTGATATAATCTAAAGAGTGGGGTTACTGCAGACTCTCTCCTGCAGTCTGTTGGCAGAAAGCCCAGTGATGGCTACAAGTAATTTCCAATAAAGTATGCTTTGTTGCTTCTATCTCCAAATGCTTTGGTTTTCCTTTTAAGTGAGCATTTTTCTCATAACACTATGAACACCAAATACATAATAATTAAAATATATACCAGACCAAACTCTGAATCATGAGCATGCACAAATGTCGTCGTGATGACAGAAGATGAATTATATTAGGTATAAGTATATGATAGCTGGTGCAAATCTCTAAATAGCAGGTTTTGTGTCATTTTGTATCCTGATCATGTCACTTCCCCCTCCCCTTATTTTCTCCAGTAGATGTCCATGTTTGTATATCTTTATAATCACGTAGTCCCAGGTAACCTTTCAGTAACACTCAGGCAATCTTCAGGCAAGTTGATACTTCTGAAAAACGGGAAGGGCCGTAAACTCTGTGCCCATGCTTCGCTTGCAAGAACATGCCAGATTCACTCCTTAATAGGCAGCGCTGATCTAGATGGAGTGATGATCTGAAGCAGGTTCATACTTTCTTTCACAAGTCTACAGAAGGATTCCTGACCTACCAACAATCTCTCCGCAGGCTTGACAGATATCTGCATAAAGACTCTCAAAGCAAGCACAGCAGCAGGGTTGTCCACCCTTCATCACATATTGCTGAATCCGCAGGGGCAAGTCACACTCGAGACAGCAAAAGTGTTCTTCATGCCAGCGCATGCCTTCTGCCTCCACGCACTCGGAGGTGAAGATCAGCTGAAGAGACATAAGAGATGAAAGCTCATATTGCTATGAGCTAGATATTAAGGTGAAGTATGCAATGTACCAAGATCAATTTTCTTCCTAAGGTAAGAGCATAGGCTACACAACCATCATTTACTCAAGCCTTTGCAGTGACCCTATCCTATAAATCAAGCTTTCTGTTTAAAAATACACCATATTTATCCAACTGACAATGTTCTCTTGATGTATCTCAAATAGGTCATAATCTATTCTTTAAAAATCTCCAAAGTTATTAGGCTTGAAACCATGTTAAATATGTACACATCATCTACTTTTGCCTGTTTTATTTTGATGTTTCTATGACAATTATCACTACCCAGCACCGTTAAGAATTCTGAAACTCCACTTAATAACACATTGGTCTCTGCATATTCTAGATGTTTTATCTTCCTATATCATGTACCTAATTCTCTTCCATATTCCTAATTACAAGATCAAAAAATTGAAGGGAAGCAAATTTAGGAATTTCTACAGGGGATAAGAGAGATATATGTGGTTAGATCTCTTCCAAAATAAAATCTCTCCAATTATGATGGGGAAAAAATTAAAAATCCAATTTTATCATGAATGCTCTCCTACAGGATTGTAGCTCAAGTCTCTCAATCTGGATTTGGAAATGGCCAGGCTAGATATATCAGCTGATTTAGTTACAAGAGCACAAACATCACCACATATACCTACCTGATCACATGAAGCACAGCGAGGGTGGAAAAATTCTGCATGGTGCCGACCACAAAAAATCTTCTCATTTCGATGGAAGTAAATTAGATCTATGAGTGGTTGCTGGCAAATGTGGCAGACAAAACACGTAGGATGCCACCAGCACTGTTCGCCTAACTTAGAGGCATACACACCCTGGTCTCCTCTGATTATATTCTTATCACACTAAAAATCAAGCAGAAATAATTCCTTTATCTAAGAGCCTTAATTATAACTATCTTCCTTCTGTAAACTATTCAGACTGCTATGCATGCTTAACTTCAATAATTAAAATCAAATTATTTTACCCAGGCAATTCAAATTGTGAGTGAAAGGAATGTGCAAAGTGCAAATGTTAGCAAATTGCACTTGTTTGCATAGCTGTTTTTACTGTGTAAAGTTCTATAGTGTTTGCTGTTTTGTTTAATATATATTGGTTTTCATAACAGAAGGCAACCACTCTGTGTCCCTCCAACAACTACAAATATTACTTAATTGTCTCTTGCATTTCTAAGATTTCAGTAAATGCTGCCTTCATCTTTTTCAAATATACCTTCTCTGACATAAGGACCTACAACTTCCACCTGCACCTGTTACCATATCCAAAGTTAGTATAACTGCAAAGATCACACTAAGCAGGGAAAACAGGGTTAGAGATAAGCCCAGACATCTTCATAATATGTCCAACATCATGATAAGAATAGCTCACATTTCTGCATAAGTACTCGTGAGCTGTGAGAGGCAGATGACGTAAAACTCCCTGTCCCAGCGATTCCTGTCGCCTCCATGCAGCAAAGGTACGGAGTTGCTTTCTTTCCTGTTCACCGATGAATGGGCAATATTTCTCCTTAAATAAAAAAGGAAAAATGGTGCCAAGATCCAGAAGAAGTATCTAGATAAATATGTATATTTGAGATGCAGTAACAAAACAGAGACAGATGTTGATCAACTTGCAAATATTTTTGAAGTTTTATTGTAATACCCAAAGATGCTTTTCAGACTTTCTCAGGCTTTTTTTTTCCTTGAAAAGATTTTGCTTCTCAGCTTCTTAGATGAGAAGCGAAAAGTTTTCAAGGAAGAAAATACCTCAAGAAAGTCCAGTTGCCTTTTGAAAAGCATCTTTGGGACAACCATGGCCTGGATGAATGAGAATCTGCAACATAATTTTATTTTTACATTTGGATTTTATTTGATGGCTTTGGTTGGCTTGGTTCAAAAAATTGGCTTGTAAATAGTTAAATGAAGATCTTATTGCATGTATTTATCTTATTAGTCAAGACCGTATCATGTGTCTGTTAATAAATCCCAATATTATATTTAGTTGGCAGCTCATTTCTCTACCAGTTTCCTTCTTAGCTCTTTTTCTGTAACATGATTCCGGAATTCTATGTATATCTATTCAGAAGAAATCCTATTATATCAAAAGTGACTAATTCCAAGCGAATAGGCACAGGATTATAGCTTGGCTTTTCTCTAAATCCTACTTTTATCCAATACACAATGTTTGCAAGCAAAATATTCAAAAGCCTGGGCAGTGTGTCCTAATTTAATGATCTCTTTACTAGCTGAGTGCTAATTTTGACTTTAATGTTGGAGTCAGTCCTGCACATATGAAAGATACCAAATTGAGGAAGAAAGTGCTAGGGGTTGGCTAGGTCATTAGAGCAGCATTACTACAATAGCTTTAATCAAAGCTGGCTACTAACTAGTGGATGTGAACCCAGAGAGGTTATTTGTAAATTTAGCACATTCTATTTAGACAGAGACTTTAAATTTATCTTTACTTCAATGGACCAAAAATCTCTTTCAGTTGTTTAGTTCTTGGGAACAGCAGTAAAATCCCCAGTCAGCTTTCTGACCAGAATATCCTAGAGCAGAGCCCCCCCCCAACCCCCAGTCCATGGACTGGGACCGGTCTACGGCATGCCAGAAACTGGGTAGCACAAACAAGCAAAACCCCATCTGCAGGATGCAGGCAGCACACAAAACCATGCCCCCTGTGGTCCGCGGAAAAAACTCCATGGAACTGGTCCCTGGTGTCTAAAAGGTTGGGGGCCGCTGTCCTAGAGGACTTTCATGGGAACATCAGTTGCAAGTAAGTTTGGTGAGCCATATAACAGCTGGACTCTGGCACAAGGGGTCGTAGGGGCCATACAACGGTATCTTCCCAATCACCGTGAGGTAAAAATGACAAAACATGTGTCAATGACTATGCAATGCAACTTTGCATTTTTGTACTGCATGTAAGAAGATGGAGAATAAAATTGTGTTACCATGCACATTTCATCACTTGTTCCCTTTCTTCCCCTATAGCAGCGGTTCTCAACCTATGGGTCGCCACCCCATTTGGGGTCGATCGACCATTTCACGGGGGTCGTCAAGCAAGGCTGTCCGCCATTTTTTTTGTCCGCCATTTTTTCCCCCTTTTCCGGCGGGTGCCTTACCTCCCTTGGGCTGGGCCAGCTGGTGGTCGGCCTGCTCCGTCTCTGCTGCTTGCCAGCTACACCTCGGCCGGCGCAGGGGGCGGAACCACGCATGTGTGGCGCTCCCGGGCAGGGAAAGTCCTCGACTTACGACCGGTTGGGTAGTCCTCGACTTACGACCGGTGAAGTCCTTGACTTACAACCGGTTTAGTCCTCGACTTACGACCGGTTGGGGGTCGCGGCATTAAAAAGGTTGAGAACCACTGCCCTATAGGCACCTGAATCACCAAGTTAGTCCATTTTTATTATTTATTTATTAAATTTCTATATCACCCATCTCAGCTAAGGAACTCTGGTCTGTTTACAACATTTGTTTGGTTATCTTTTCTCCTTGTTACCATATAAAAAAAAGGAAGCTTCTCCTATTGCTGTTTTTTTTAGAAAGGTCATGGAACTGCATGATTAGAATTTGAAAAGAATGGATAGCCCAAATAATTTTTTCAGTGCAAAGAAGGGGCATAAGAAAATAGTTTTGGCAGGACTCTTCAATCAAGTGATGCACAAGTAAAAAAAAATAGACCTGGCAAACCCTGGGTAAGGCTTTAAGAAACCTACATTGCAGTCTTGTGGAGGCAGCTGGTAGAGGAGAATTTTGATACGGAGCTGATTGTGAATAGCAGCAGGGACAACAGCTGATGAACAAGAGCTACTGCTTTGTAATACCTGTAAAAGTAAATGAGGTAGAAACGAAACAGTGATATTTCTATGTATTTGGGAGGTAAACAGTTTTCTGCACTATCCTCTGTCTTACAGATCATCTTCTCTAGGCTTGATAAAAAATCTTCCCACATTAAGAAATGAAGGGATAATGAAAACAAACCAACAGAAGGAAGACAGCTAATTTACTTTCCATTTATTGTATAGCACATAAACTAGGAAAAAAGAGTTTGCCAAAGTTTAGACCTATCTTCCTGCATATGAATTTGATTAAGCAGTAAGACTTGAGATGGGAAGTCTCCTCACCAAAAGAACAGAAAAATTGGCAAAAATGATTTTTTTAATAAAATAGTTCCTTTGTTTTCTGCATTTTTTTATAGCCTTTTTCCTGAAAATTAAAAATACTGAAAAAAAATTCCTATTACATTTCATTTATATCAGTGTTTCTCAACCTTGACAATTTTAAGGCATGTGGACTTCAACTCCCAGAATTCCACAGCCAGCATTCTGGGAGTTGAAGTCCACATGCCTTAAAATTGTCAAGGTTGAGAAACACTGATTTATATTATATGATAAAATTGTTAAGATGAACAGAAATAACTTTACAGAAAAAAAGAATTTTGGGGGGGAAATACAGCAAATTATATAATAATTTTGCATGGGCATAGTGAAGCTTTCCTCAGTATAGTTGTAGTATGAAAATGATAAATCATGAGACAGAAAATACTGATAATTTCAAATTCAGAAAAGAAGACCGATTAGATAACATTTCATTATTCTAAAAATTATGAGTAGTCTGTCTTTCTCAGCCTTTTAATTAAGTTTAATAAACCAAATTATACACAAAATATTTTATAGAGCAATAAAATTATTTTATATCTATAAAGGGCGTAAGTATTGCACATATTTCAATTTTCCTCCCCATTAGTTTTTCCTCCCCAAAATATAACGGGGATCTTTGTTTTTTCCTTACTGCTTCAAAACTGCCAGAGATTTTAACATCGTCAAGTGATTTTTACATTTTCAAGTTGTAATCATCTACTGTTTACAATCCACCTGTTCTCAAATTCTTTTTTTTCCTGGAATCAAGCATGACAATAACAAAAGGTCATGTGTGCAATACTGATATTTACACAGATTCATGTGATATGGGGTTGGTCCCAGATCCAAAGGCAGCAAAAGGCAGTAGCCAACCTTGCTACTGTCACAACTCCAATTGACTTGGCAAATGAAAACACTGTTCACTAGCCAATCAGGAAAAAAATTTCACCAGGGTTAAACCTTGTTAACATTTAAATAGGAAATCAAATGAAATCCCAGAACTTTAAACTTGTCTGTGAACTTGAGGGGGAAAACATCCTGGAGTAAGGCAGTGGCAAACCATATTGTTTGAAGAAGACAAAAATGATCTTCTGCATGTAGTCATCAAGGAGTCAGACCTGAGAGAAATTTTACCTTATACCAGAAAGAATATATCACACAGAGACGTAGACCTGAAAGCGTCTTACTGGCTCTGATGGAGGAAATTCAGTGGTTGGACCTGGATAATCTTCCAGGGCACAGCCAGAATCACTGTCTGAAGATGAAGCAGGTGGTAGAGTAGTTACAGTTCTACTACATGGAGACTTCTCCCTCTGGGCCCAAATATGACTTGGCTGGGACATCCGAAAAAGGAAGTGCTGAAAAAAAACCAAGAGTCTATTAAAAAAGACCAATTCATCCCCTTCCCCTTACAGTCTACCCAGAACACTCTTAAATATGCTATCCCAACATGGCACCTCTCAGATGAGATAGACTTTGGCCACCAATGTCTCACTTATACATTTATTTGAAGGACAGAACTACTGACATATATTTAACATGGAATACGAAGATTTTCTACTGTATCTAGGAGACAGAGGAGTAACAAAAGCAAATATTAATTGAAGCAAGTATTTCACAGGATCATTGCAATTTTTTGGGGGGAGGGGTAAGTGAGGTTTGTAATCATGTGGCCTTTTAAACCAAAAGGTTTACAGTGGGGGATTTTCCTTTTGCTCCTATATATATTAATCAAATTAGAATTCTTGTTAAAAGAACAAGCATAGTCATGTTCTATAGACATAAGTTACACTGCTAACCACTTAGTCAAATCTGACTAATTTCTCATTCACATATGGCTAAGGGGTACAGGTTTCATTCTGCCCCTATTTGCACTCTCTTATACTGAATGCCTTATACGCACAATACGTATTTTCTTAAATACTATGTTAACTGTAAATGGGAAATGGACATGTCACAAAGTAAAGCACAACCCTCCAGCATAAGTTTTATTCCCAGAATACTTCTAGGCCCCATAGGTGGTCTTAGAAATTTGTTTTAAAAATGGTTGCTATAGCCAAATCTTTACTTGAGGTATGCCCTCCCTCTCTAACAAAAGACAGGGAAAAGATAAGTAGCATCCTATGGAGTTAGCTGAAACGGCAAGGAACACTCACACAAAATTTCTTCCTGATATGGCTATTTTGTGAATAGCTATGACATTTTTTATTGTGTGAGTACCCAAATCAAATGTACCCATCATCTCCAAAATTCGTTGACCTTTGCTTTCAACAAGTTTCAGACTTACAAAAAAAATTAATACAAAAGTACCAGAAAAGAAAAATTATTGGTCCCTTAAAAGGACTGAAATTGAAAGGTTTAATGCTTTAAATATCTTGATGGTGTTTCCCACAGTCCTGAGTCCCACAAAGAGCATGCTGAGTTCACAGCCCAAAGTGCTCAGTGCAGTAGCTTTGGTGATAATTCTGATGGTAATTGATACTGGTAATTCTAGGTTTCTTTCATTCCAGAGATGCACATTTGTATTCCAACAACTTTTTAAAGCAAAAACCGTAGCATAATTTTCCCATATAGTACTGGGACATATCCCAATTTATACCTCTGGAAATTACTTCAATCAAAATATCTAAGTGCAATCTTTCTAATTCCTAATTTTATTTTGTGAGCCTGGATTTCTGGAGACAGAGGGTTAGGTCTGGATCACAATCTTTTCATTATTGGCTAAACTGAATTTATCTCCCTTGTATTTGGATCCATTATACTTACAGAATCCTATTTTCTCACAACCACGTTAGATGTATGGTTTCTCTCCTGAAGGCCTTCTTGGTACCAGGATTAAGGAGTGGCAGAGTCCCTCTAAGCAAGAAATAAGGGATATTTCTTTGATTACAAGTGATTGTAATTTGAATGGATTGCTCTTTGAAATCCACGGATCATTTATTTAATATAAAATTCACAATTATGGAATATCCTTGGTAAGATTTAACCTTGCACTTGATACTTGTATTTGGGAAAACACGTATTATGTGAGAGTTCACTCTTGCAAACAGAACATCTTTCCAAGCTTATTGTGTATTTTATACAGATATTTTGTTCCACTTTTCTCGCTTTCCTGCTTCTAACGCCCTTCCAATATTACTAAAATGCATTGAAATCACATTTTTTCTTAGCATTAGATCTAGACACACATATAAATATTATTTACTCACTCAAACTGCCTTTATTTTTCATTATGAGTCACATGAAGCTTAGATGAAACATAGTGGCAATGAAATGCAAATAAACAAGGAACCATACCAGACATATGCTTTTTCAAAGACTAGTAGATGATTTCACATAATCCCTAATTTGTTACAAATTGCCTACAGGTGCTCGTTAACTGGAAGAGCATTCATTTTTTCCTTCTTCTCGAGGCCATGACTATTTCATAAATGGTTGACATAATACACATTTAAAGTCATGGTTGCTAATGTAAATTTTGGCTCTTGTTCCATTTATGCCTCCCACTAGTGTTAAGACATCATATAAGAAAAGTTTTTGCCAGCCACAAACATAATTGACTAGTGTGATATCCTTGTTGTGATTGTGGTGTGGGTACATAGATTGACAGTGGCAACTATCAACTATTAATTGATCACCCTGACACATATGGCAGGAAGAATATCACGATAGTTGAAATAAGTGAAACTTACTGAGGGGCAAAACATTTTGGTGGGCAAAAACAAAACAGTCTCCAAAAATCAGCTTTCAGATTGCTTTGGGTTCTGTTTGGGAGATGGAAGGATAGGGTTGGGCCTATCTTTCCCTTGTTACATAAAACCAGAAAGAACCATGGAATTAAAGCACTTGTAGGATTGCACCACCACATCATTCAGATAAAGCAGGAGTCCTCAAACTTGGCCACTTTAAGACTTGTGGACTTCAATTCCCAGAATTCCCCAGCCAGCCATGCTGGCTGGGGAATTCTGGAAGTTGAAGTCCACAAGTCTTAAAGTGGCCAAGTTTGAGGACCCCTGAGATAAAGCATTCACATTCAAAAGTGAACAATCTTTTGTATCAGTGAAAGTAGCAATGCTTTAGTGGAAATCTCTCAGAAACTATGCTGTGAAGGAGACCAAAGTAAATGTCTGTGTGAGAAAAGGACAGAATCGTAATTCAATGGCTCTGCTGATACCATCCCATATTCTGTGGATCTGTCTACACACATTCCAAACTCTATGCTGCATTGTTATAGTCTTCCCTAACTTGGTACCTTCAGACAGGTTGAACTTCAACTTTAATCAATTCAATCCAGGAGGGGAACACTTATCTATCAGGTATTAGTTATAGGTTAAGATAGGTATTATTACTACATAAGTAAAAAAGTGGATTAAGTGTGCAAATATATAATTAACATTTAAAAATAACCTATAAAAATGAATCCAGAAACTGCCATCTTGCATGTTGCTTGAATTTCAATTTCAGGATTTGGAGAGTCTTAACTGTGGATTTCTCAGTTATAACACAACACACATATACATCCCTGCAAACTATAAAAAGCAGTAAAATCACTGGATCTTTCGCATGAAGCGAAAATGGTGGCATTGTTTTTAGGGGAGCTCTTTTATGGTCTTGGGATCTTGGCATATGCCCAACTTTGCCACCACACAATTGAGGACTCACACATCCTGTCTGTGAGAAAGCCTGACAATGGTCTTTTAGACTTGCCCTGGGCTTCATTTCCTTCCTGACTCTCCTGAAAGCATTGCAGAGATTTGCCATTTTAGGGAAATCTTTCAAAACGTCACCCTTTATTTTTGCTACTTTACTGAGTTTAAATATAATTATGTCACTTAATGCTGTTTCTTGTAACCTTTTTAAAAAAATGTTTCTAGGCTTCACAGCTTTAAAAAGCAGAACAGACCTTTCATTCAACACACTTGGGCTGTTCGTGCTGTGACTAGTTGAATTAATAGGCTTGGCATGTGCCCAGATTAGCAGCAAATCCCCTGCCATTGTGTGCAAACTGTTATACAGTTACTGATACATAAGCTGGCACTTGGGTATGTGGCAAACCTATCAACACTATCCCAGACTTAATTCAAACTGAGTTGATGTAATGAGTCCAACTTCCTAAAAAAGTTATGAATCAACTCCATTTTCCAAAAACATTTTCTACTCGCGCAGCCATATATTTACATGGCAAGGATGCAGATACTGTTCAACAGTTTATTTTCAGAGATATGGCAATCTTTTGGTTCTTGCGTTAGACTCAATTTTTATCTACTCTGGCTGTGGGACATTTGATTTTTCCCTTCACGCCTTCATAAGCCTGCAGTGTTAATCATTCCCAGATGCTTGGGCAGGAAGTTCACATACTGGGCAACTTTCCTGGTTAATGGTTATGGAAAGAAACAGGCTGGTTTTATAACTCCCTTTTCCAGCTCTTCCCTGCTGACTTCCTTCCTCTTGTCCATTTCCAAAACAAAAGGGGTTTTGATGGGCAGTTTGATGGCTCAGTTCAACTTCTGTGACGACTTGGATACTTTCCCAGAGACCAACTCTCTCTAGTTAACTTTCCTTTCTCAACACCAAAGTGAGCAGAGAAAAAGAGGGAGAGGTGGCCTTGAATGGGACTGAGAAAAAATGAAGATGCAACAGTATTAGGAACCATCAGTGGTTATATCTTTAGTGGCAAGGAGGTGATCAGATCAGATGCTGTTTCAGCATGTAGTTATAAAAAAACTTTTCTGTCTAACTGACAGGTAGCCAGAGAGCAAGTACACAAGATCTACCTGATTCATTTGGGACATTTCATAATTTCTGAAATTTACCTCAGAATAGGTAATATAGCATAAATTACTCTAGTTTCAACTACAGTACTTATGTTTTAAGTTGGGAGGAGGAATGGACACTTCTATAAATTGCCATTAGATTGCAAAAAACTGTCCCCAAATCAACTTTATGTTCCACGATTTCTGATTTTCAACACACATTCTTGGATATTATTGGTACCTCACTACAAATAGCAATTACACAGTTAAAATCTTCAGCAGAAAGAAGGCAAGGCAAGTGGAAACTGCAACAAACTATAGAGTTTAATGACCAACCAATTCTTTTCAAGGCCTTTAGCAGCATGCCTATTTTTTGGTATAGTGCAGTCTTCTTAAATATAATTAGCAAAGCAAGGTCACGTTGTTTAGTTTGCATCTGGATCAGTAATTAACTCAGCAAATTAACTGGTGAGCAGGAGGAAAAATAAAAATAATAGTTGATTTTACCGGATTCCAATACCTTACCTCCCAAATGCAGCACTGGTATAGATAGATAACTTTATTTAAGCCTTGGAGGACTATTCTCTAGCAAGGTTTATAAGAAC